ATTTTTCCCCTCCCCTGGAGCACAACCAGATGAATACCCTTGAGTGAGGGCATTATGTGCCTGTTTTTATTTTTACCAAAGCAACAGCTTCGAGATGGTTTTATTGAGTAGTCACATTAAGTCTGAGAAAGAGCAGTTACTTGCCCATTTTACAGGTGGAGAAAGGGAGTCTCAGAGAGAGCCTGGGTACCTTGCCTGAGCTCATGTCACTCTCAGATGCAAGGGAGAGACTGAGCCTAGTGGGTGCTCCAAACCTGGGAGTTTCCCGGCGTGCTAGTGGGCAGTCACAAAAACTCTTAAGAACCTGGGTCAGTCTTCAGCAAGGACAGTCCATAAGACTCAGAAGAATCCAGAATATATTCTCAGGGGAGTGGATTAGTAATTACTGGCACTAAAAAAGGGAGAGCAGAAAACACTTCTATCATTCTATTCTCAGAGAAGTTGAACGGATGAGACTTCTTCATTCGATCCTCAATTTGTAAATATTGAATAACTTTCACTCACAAAGGACCTTTGTAGTTCTGTGATCAATGTATGTGTTTTTAAAGAAACAAATTAAGAGAGCCCTTTTAAGGAGAAAATATGGCTCTTCCTACGAGTGGGGGAAATGTAACAGCCCAGTGCAAATCAGCCTTTCAAGTAGTCTTGTGTGGAGGGCAAGTGGAACAGACACTGGTTTCAGGACAAGCTAAAATCAGCCCCCATGTAGATGTTAAAAATAAATTTTGTCACCTTACACATACTTTGATTGCTTCATGTAAGTGAGTTCTAACTTTTAAAGATAATGACATCTGTTCATAATTGTTCATTTTAATTTTTTAGCAAAATTGGCTTATTGAGGATTTTTGCATTCTTTTATTTATAGAAGCACAGTTCTTTAACTAGCTCTTAATATTCTGCAGAGCTGTGGGAGTTATTCTCAGATCTGTAGCTGAAGGTGTTAGAAGCAGGACTCTGGACTTTTTTGTAGAAGCCAAAGCCTGGGAGGTGTTTGCAGGGCATAGCATGGACTTGCAGTGACCTGTGCTTGTCCTCTTTAGACTCCACCAGGAATCAAAGATTAAGCCATGCTTTTCTGGCAACCATTGATTGCTTGGAAACTGATCAGTGAGAAGAGCAATGAATGATTGGCCCAATTTTAGATACTTTTCAAGCTTTACCTTTGGTAAAAACTGAGACAACGAAAGATGACATTTTAACTGCCAGTTTGTCTTCCTCTATAAGATATTTATTTCTGCCGCTTGAATGTTTCTGATGGCATCATTAAGGTACAAGTCCCTTTCTCCAACAATAAAAGGTTGTCCTGCTAATATTCCCTGAGTCTTCATTTCTTTCCCCCAAACATACAAACAAAAATAAAGAACATGCTGTGGGACAAGCGTACATGTCAAGCATTTAAAAATGCAAAACTTTTACAATACGCTTTAAGAAACTGAAGCTCCCTGGAAAATCATCTATGGAGGATAAATTATATCGTGTGCTTGGAGCCAGGTGTCTTCTAAAGCTTGCCTCTTTTTTGGAAAACACTTTATTGTAATTAGTGGAACCGATTTGATTCTTAAGAGGGAAAGAGATAATGGGGGAACAGTGCCACATGTTATTAATGATCTGGTCTAATGGTGAGTGGGGTTCTTTTGTTGTTGTTTTGTTTTTGAAGGAGGGATTGAAAGCAAAGATGCTTATAAGAATGCATGTCTTTATTTCATTATTGTCATGCTCAATGTTGGCAATGGATGCTTCCTCTAATATTTAATAATCAATCTCTTTCTTCTGTCTCTTGCATTCAGCTCATTCTCTTTCCTATTCTCTCTGATCCACATCATTTCCCATCAGTTTGCCATCTGCCATCTGATCACCAGTCAAGTTCTGGTATAGTAAATGTTTCAAGATCTACATTTCATGTTATAGATGCTACTTGAATGATTGTTATTCAATATAACAGGTAACCATGTGGGCCTAGAAGTGGATTTATTTGGATTATTGCAATTATAAAGATAATTGCAAAAAATTCTCTCATTCATATTCACTGATATTATTCATGTGTGACATGGTGTCTGTTTTATTTCTTGCTTTCACTGTGTTGGTCTATGGCTCTGGATATCCTAAAAATGATTGGCATTTAAAAAATAAAAGGTCAATTGAAAGACAAAGGAAAATATCTTTGGAAATTCTGCAGTAGCACCTTGCCTATTCTGTGTGTGCATGGATTTCTGTGTTCAGTAACTGCATGTTTATATGTTTCCCACACCAGTTTCACTGAAACGAAGAGAAGTGGAAGAGCAAAACATGATGGGTTAGAAGATCCATAACAATACATCCTTACTTATTTTAATGACTAGCACTGTTTACAGAACCGTCTACATTGTGTTTTGCTATTTCATCCTTTGAATTAGTTGTAGTAAGATACTGATTTTAAAAAATTATTCCAACTAAACTAAAATTGCTCTGCAATACTATTTATTTTATGGTATAATTTGCAGCTGCCTTGCCTGAAAATGAATCCAGTGCTCTCTAAGTAACTCAAGAAAATGTACATTGGGAAACAAATTTGTACTATTTAAATTATTTCCAAACTGAATTTCTCTTGTTAGGATATTTTTTCTTGAATGTTTAATAAGCCTAAAGCAGGTCACATATTTGAATCACAATCCTAAAATATTCATTCACATTTGGAATTCTTTTTGCACAAAGATGTGTTGTGAACATGGTTGGTTATTTGACTGCCTTGATATTGAGGAGCACAAAATCCTTCTGGAGATTTCTGATGATCTGATTTAATTAGTTCATTAGGATTCGTTCTTTATTTTAAACCAGCCGTGACTACAAGGGTTCAAAATTCAGAAACTTTTATCAAAGTGAGAAGATGCACTGGAATATTAATCCAGTATCCTGTTTTTAGAGTAACCTTTTTCAGGCCAAATGAAGGGTTCTTAGACTTCAAGTAAAGCCATTATATTGGATAGTGGGGTGGGGGTGTAGCAAGAATCACCCTTATTACCATCGCTCTATTTATTGTGCTTTTGCTGTCTGTGCTATATTATGCAGCTTATGTGAGCTAACACACCAGCATTTAACCTTCTCTGTATCAGTGTAGAGGTGCTGCGGGCATGCTAGCATTTGGGGGGGGTGATGAGGATCTGTACTCTGCACTGGGGCCACCTGAAGCTCTCTGGACTCTCCCTCACACTGAGGTTCCAGATACCAGGGTCTTATTAGGAGAGGCTGCTCTTTGGGCCTGAAGGTGGCCTGTGTACGTGGCAGCCTCATGAGAAGTGTCCACAGAATCCTTAATTACTGATATCAATTACATTTCCCAGTGGATTTGTCCCTGTTCCTAAGACCCCATGAAACTTCACTTGCTTTCCTTCCATCTCGGCCTGGAATAGACTGTGACCTAGACCTTTAGTGTCTCATTGATGATTTCATTGAAGACCTGGACAGATGGGAAGCATAGGCCACTCTTCTGTCTTACGGAAAAAAAAAAAAAAAAACCAACATTTTTTTGTTTATCACCCTAAATAGTATGATTTCTTTTTGCTGTTTATTTGTCTTGGTATCTCTCCCACAAGCAGTAGGTAGCGCTCTTCAAACTTCTCTGTTTTATATTCCCTGGGTTTATCCATCCCCTCCTATTGCCTTTGGCATCAACAGTCCTGGGTCTGTCTGACAATAGCATCCGGTATCAAATACAGATTGCAACAGGATGCAAACCAGGTGACCGAAAATGGGCCGCTGAATGGCACTTGTGTTCAGCTCAGTGGGCTTCAAACTCTCATGATACCTAGGAATGGAGGTTCTCAGGAATACAGATGGGGGCTCTCAGGAATCACCAATAGAAAGAGTCTTTATCATCCTTCTGAGTGTACAGGGGCAGCTGATTTCCACTTTCCAGAAATGTGCTTTAGGAATAATACAGGGTACCTGTCTTACATGTGCGTTTATATTTACAAAGCTAAACCACCACTCCTTTTTTGCTCACCCCTTCTCCCAGCCATGCACGCTGCAGAGAACTGCATTTTTTCGTATTAATTTCTGTATTCTCAGTACTTCACACCATGTCTGGCACACTTATAAGATCTGATTAAGTGAATGTGATTAAAATAAGTGTTGGAATGCTGTTTATCCAGCCTTGAAATACATATTTTTGTGTGTATCTATATCTAGATATACATAGGTATACATATATATATATACACACACACATATATATGCATAGACATATTTTTACACATTTGGAAGAGGGATTGTAGGGCAAGTGGGAAGCCTGTAGAACCAGTTAAAATTAGTTTAAAATTAAAGTTAGTTTCATTTATTTTGAATAATTCTCATCTGTAGAGCTTTAAGTATAAGTGATTTTCATTTATTTGATGAAAAATCTCAGATTCCTATGAAGACAGAGAAGAACGTGATGAGTCACAGCGATAAGTCACAGTCTGGATTGTTTTAGAAGCAAATCCCAAACATCCCATCCTTCATCTCTCAGTACTTTAGGATGTATCTTTAAAAGATATGACACTTAAAAACATTGTTCCATGTAAACATGTTCTCTATGGCAATGTATTTTCACACTGCCAAGTAAAATTTTGAAGAGCGTTTTCTTTTTTCCTCTGATATCTTCTTAACCGTGTCTTGGGAATTATTTATACAACCATATTATCATTGTTTCTTTTTTTATAAAAATTAATTCAAGGATGACTTTTTAGATAGAGAAAATCCATTGACCCATCCTGGATCAAAAGAGAAACCCTGGAATTTCAGTCCTTAACTGTGAGAGGATACTTTTCCTCCATCCAGTAATTTGGTGTGCTTCCAGAGTGGGACGCGTGCCTATTGCACTGACCCAGAGGGAGTCTCACCGGGGAATAGTGCATCCGACTGAATCCAAATGCCTATATTCACTCTGACACACTTGCAAACGAATGGTTAATAACTGTCCACCTCCTTCCACCTGGTTCAAAAACCAACTTTGCCTGGGCCCAGAATTTTTTCTTTCATGATACATATTTCTTTCTTCTCACTCTTCTTTAATCACCCATGTACATATGAAACTATGTCTGGGGGCCTCTTTGGTAAATTTTGCTGAAAACCAGTGATAAACAGCGCAGTGAATCAAATAGAAGTGGCGATGTGACTCGTTTGGTTCTATGAAATCCTGTGATGCTTATGGAATTTTACTAATGAGTTCAAGGAACAGTAATGTGCATTCTGAGTTTGGAATGCAAACCTTACAAGAAATATAGAAATGTCGCCCTCTCTGCAGTAACAAATCTCTTTTGTTCTTGGGAGGCATGATCACACGTTGGCGGGCACCTAGTCATTCCTATTTCCTACTGAACAGACGTTTTCTTCTCTTTTTGTTCCAGACACATCAACTGGATCATTCTGCTCATTACCTGCGTCTGAAATTTCTAATAGAAAACAAAATGCAGTTCTACATCCCGCAGCCCGAGGAGGACATTTATGAGCTGGTAATGTTTATGACTGTTGTCCAAGCACATTCTGTAGGAGATTATTTTCAAATTATCTGTGCACTTGTGTTAATTGTAACTGGTGGAGAGGAACAGAGTTGTAGAATAAATGAGCTTCATCGGGAGCTCTGAAGTTGGTGGCAGTGGCCTTACGTAGCACGGAGTTTCCAGAGTGGAAATGCTACCTCTGCTTGTCTGAGGTGCATTGCTGTGCCATCGTGAGACACTGAAATCCAGAGCCACCTCTGGGAATTTTAACCCCTATTACCAAGTCTCCTGGCAGCATTGATGGTCTTCTATTTTCAGTTGTAACTCTGAAATCAACTGGCTGTTGTCAGAATAAACGCTCTAACTCCAGTTTTCTGTGACTTCCACATGCACAGCAAGACCAAAGGGTCAAATCTTGTGGGTGAAGAAAACTGCCATCTCCTTGTGTGTCCCAACCTGATGGAACTCTGTTCAGACAGATTCCTGGGGACAGTTGTGTGTTTTCACGGGACATGAATTCTGAACCAGACCTGGCTTCCTGTCTCAGTCCTACTGCATACTGACATTTGGACTTGGCAAAGTCGGGAGATGACCGTACTTCATGTCTGGGGTTTAACAAAGATTAGAGAGAATGACTCACACAGTAGATGCTAATGGTTGTGATTCTAATAAACTGGTGACAAGTTCCTTTTTCTAGCTGGGTGGTGCATTTTTTTAGTTCCAGTAAAGGATGATTTGGGGAGCAAGGAGCCTCCCTTTTGGAGATCTTTCTGCTTGGTGTGTACTCAGTCATCCCTCTGGGGGCCCACTGCTGCCTGCTGTGCATATGTGAATGATAGATACTAGGAGGACTTCAACTTCACCAGAGACTGGAACTGAAAAGATAAACCCAATGTTCTCTTTTTGGAAAGGGGAAGAAGCATAATTTAAAGATTTAGTGATGTTTTAAGGCAACTTCATTGGGGTATACTTTACATGTGATGAAACTCTCACGGGTTTTCAGCACACGATTTGATGAGTTTTGACAAATGTATACAGTCATGTCTCCACACCTCAATCATAATTGGGAACATTTCTGTCATCCTAAAAGGTTACCTGGGGTCACTTTAAGTGTTTTTAAGGATACATAAAAGAAGGATGTGCTTTTGTAACAATCTTGTCATGTTATGCAATAGAAGAGGATCAAAATGAGTCCACTTTTAGCCATCGCTTAATAAGTGTTGGTACAAGAAGCTGCATTCAACAGAAAGTAGCTGATCTATTCTTTTTTCTGATGTGAAGACAAGCCCAGTATTTGTGCTTTATGAATAGAGAAAGGAAAGTCTGTTTCCTTCCTTAAAAAAAGGGAAACATCAGCTGGGCGTGGTGGCATGCACCTGTAGTTCCAATGACTCTGGAAATTAAGGACGGAGGATCGCTTGAGCCAAGGAGTTTGAGGGCAGCCTGGGAAACATAGCAAGACACTGTCTCAACCTTGCCCTCCACTCCCAGATAAACCCCCCAAAGGGAAATGCCTTGCTGATAACCTTGGAATAGCTGATAAGGTGAACACTTTGTATCCTGGAGGTTAGAGAATTGTTTCCATCCTAAATTACAGAGATTATACCTTGCTAATTACCATGTCCTATACACACAAAGAGCTGGTGGGAGACATTATTTTGAAATTTTATTGATTTATTTTATTTTTACATCTTGGCTATTGTATGGTATTATTCAACATAGAAGACTAAGGTGTGCCAGGTTTAGTCTGTTTGGATCTACAATTGCTCTGTACATGTTCTAATTTAAAAAATAAATAAATAAATAAATCTGAAGCCAGGCGTGGTGATGCATGCCTGGAATCCCAGCAGCTCAGGAGTCAGGCAGGAGGATTGGAGTTCAAAGTCACCCTCAGCAACCGAGCAAGGTCCTAAGCAACTCAGCAAGAACCTGTCTCGAAATAAAAATATAAAAGTGGCTGAGGACATGACCTAGAGGTTAAGTGCCCCTGAGTTCAATCCCTAGTACCACACAAACAAACAAATACACACACACACACACACACACACACACAAAGGAGAGAGAGAGAGAGACCATGGTTTTCTCTTGCCCTGTTGCAGGGGACCTCCAGCCCAGAGACCCTAAGGAAGCAAATACCATAATATTGCTTGCTTTCTTGCTCCATTTTTTCCTAAGGTTCTTAACCTTTTTGTGCTTTGGATAACTTTGGCTGCCTGGTAAAGCCTCTAGATCCTTCTCAGAATAATGCTTCCTTTGCACATGGCTTAGTTATAGTGGAGTAGTTACTTTTTTAATTAAGATCATATATGTGCTCACTAAATGACAAGGCCTGGTGATAGGTCTAGTAGTAGCTGTTCTGCAGTAGTGATGACCTTTGTAATACCTTGAGATATTAGTAACAACTGGAATGTGGTTTGAAAATAACTGATTTCTATTCATGACAAAGTCACGGGCACTGGTGATGTAGTGCTCTTGGTTGCCTGTGTGCATTTACGATTGAAGGAGATGCTCACTTTCGTTGCCATGTGCAATGGAAGCATTATTCTGAGAAGGGATCTAGAGGCTTCACCAGGCACTTTCAACTAAAGGCTTGTAAGCATAAAAGACACCCTCCCACCACCACCACCAATCACCCAAGTTCACAGACCATGTGAATTCTATCCATGGGTCCTGGGTTTTGAATTCCTGCTCTAGGCCATTAATGCTGGGTATAATAGCATCCGGAGGCAGGGCCTTCTGAACACATGGCATTCTAGACGGCTTCTGAGCGTTTCCAGATACTCACTTTATCATCCCATTCTGAACAGGCATCAGTCCGTGCACTGTTCATTGTTCCCCCAGCCCACCCTGTTCCGATGTCGGTGTCCTGGGGGAACTTGCAGGCGTTTGAAGCCATTCCCTTAGAAACAACTCATTCATATATGAGCCCTCTAAATATTTCATTCTATGCCATTGTTCCTGTCAACCGTCATGAGTAGTAAGATCAATAATTATCAGCAAAAGTGGGTACTAGGTCTGAAAGACTATTTTGAAGGGTCTAGTATTTTTATTTTGGTGGTCAGGAGACTCTCCTGTTTATGAATAACCAGGAATAGCTATCTATTTATCTGCATTGCTGGTTGTGTTAAGTTAAGTGACCCCGTTTGGCTACTTTTTCATGATTAGTTGATCGTCAGGTTCAGCCCAGGGAATAATCATGAACCTAGTTGCACAAGCACAGGCTTGTCAAAAACCAACACTGAATGGGTTTTTTCTTAAAGTGACAAGTGGGAACAAAAAGCTTGCAGAAATACTAATCAATTTATTTATTCATTCAGATAGCAAATATTTATTTAGCATTTGTGTGCCTGGCACAATCCTACCTATTTTAGACACTGTGGATATACAAACACCACTACCACCACCACCACCACCACCACCACCACCACCACCAAAAAAAAAAAAAAAGAAAAAGGAAAAATCCTGGTTTCTGCTAGGACCTCTATCCAGTGTTCAGAGATGGTGACATAAAAACAAGTCAATGAAGTTAGAGCAAATGGATGTAGAGAGATGGTGCACCTGCAAGCTTAGATGTGAGGAAATTGAGGACCTGAGTCTTAGCTGGGTTTTATACAAAAGTGTCTTTGAGGGAGCAAAGAAGGCAGGGGAGGAGGTAGCTTGCCTGGTCTGTGAGGAGGATGAGTGGGGAGGATAAGTAAGGTGGGATGCTGAGATGGAAGGGGGCAGGGAGCAAGACAGGCCATGCAGGGCCTAAGTAAGAAGGGAACCTCAGGAGAGAAGGGAGATTATAGGTGGCTTCCATACCCACAGGTTCAGCATCTGTGGAGCACACCAACTGCTGGTTGCAGATATTAAAAACCAAAAAGTTTAATTGTTGTTGGTTTGTACTATGTAGTTAGGCATGTGCTGGTCCCACCTGCGTCAAACAGGTACAGAATTGTTTTTGTCCTTATTCCCTGTGCAATGTATCGCAGCAACTGTTTGCATAGCATTCACATTGTATTGGATATTATAAGCAAGTGATTTAAAGTATATCGGAGTTTGTCCATTGGTTAAATGCAAATACTATGCACTTTACATAGTGATTTGAGTGTCCCTTATGTAGGGAAAGTCCTGAAAGCAGTCTCTTATGTTACTCAGAGATGACTGTATGAAATTCTGTTGCAGTGGGCTCCTTGTGGCTGCCTTGTGGGCCATAAGGTGTAAGACCCTGAGCAGGTAGACTGATAGGAGGCCAGGGAGCCAAAGTTGAGACAAGAGGTGATGGTGGCTTGGTCTGGGGCACCCCAAGGAGACATAGGAAGAATGATTGACTTTGTAAGAACTCAGTTGCCTGCAGAGACTTGCCTCAAACCTGGTGATCTTTCTTTTTTGATCTACTTTTTTAAAAACAGGGAAATGTTCAACATCATTGTTTTAATCAAGAAAAGGAAATTATTAAAGGTATTTATGTATAAAATGACTGAATTTCAAATGTTTCTAGCTCCAAGTGTTATAGTTGAAAATACATTTTCAAGCACAACCCCTTCTTGAAATATATTTTATTAGAGCTTTTTACTAAACCTGGCTTTAGTCCAACCAGCCTAAAAAGGACTGTGGTCCAGGGGCTATTCACAGATCACCAAGGTATCATCCAATACCAGCAAGAGACAGGAGCATTTTCACACCAATTCCAAAGAGAAGTAGGTGGTATTGTGCAAGAACAGGAAAGACTGCACAAAGCCCTCTTCCCTCTTGGTCTTTGCAGAGATGATTGGAACAGTAAACACTGCCACCTGGGGGAAAGGCTTGGCTCTCAAGGATGTTTAAGAAAATAAGACTAAGGCTGCAGCTCAGCTGATCTGAACCCAGTGGATAATGTTTCAATGAGCATTCTGTGGTTTGATGATATATATTAACTGTACTGAATTTGATATTCATGATTTTGGTGACTATATTTTCCTGAACTAAAAATCACTATAATTGATTTCTTCTAATTAAGGAATTTATTTTTAGGAAGCATTTATGAAGTATACAAATACAACCACATTCACTTTTACCCTTAGCACATTTCATTTGCTGGAAGCTGCCTTACATTAGGGTATTGAAACAAATCCGGGATGTTTTCTGGGCTCCTGGGTCCTGAGTACTCTTGCTTAGTCTTAATACTCAGTACTGAGTCTTCTCAAATGGCCAAAGTAAGTAAATGAAAAGAACTGGCATTCTTTCCTACATGCTTGAATAAGATGATTTATGGGTCAATGAGTGGGTGGTGAGAGATGGGGGCAGGTTTAACTCTTCACTATGTCTGTGTTACTGCTATAGGTCAGATTTTTCTGTTATTTACCATGGGACAAATTCTGTCTTCATTTCACAATCAAATAACAGTGTTTAAAGCCTTTGACATATTTTTGGAATTTCATCTTTAATTTTGAATTGCAAGTTTTGGCTTACTTACCTAAGCATGTTGTTTTTCTTTACTCTGGTACCCAGGACCCTGCCTGGGTACCAGAGTAAAGCATAGTGGAAATAACTTCAGCTTTAGAGGAAGCCAAGAACTCTTTCTCTTGAGTTTATAGATGGGAAATTGATTTAGGTACTTAATTTTTCTAGCTAATTTTGGTGAAGTTCCGTGGCTAAAAGAGAACACCTTCTGCTTATGTAATTTGTTGTCTGTTTCAAGACTATCCTTTGTCTCTACCTGTTTGAACCCTGGTGAGCTTCTTTAGGTAAAAGTCCTACATGAGCAGAGAAGAATGGAAGCACAGAGATTTCTCCTACTTCCATGCCACATCTAACAACCTTGTTAACGATTCCCACCCCAGTACTAGGGATTTTGATGACTTTAGCATTATTTTTCAGTTCTGAGATAGATGAGTAAAGAATGGACACAAAGAGTGATGTTAGGGAATTATGTAGAAACCAAGCTGTAGCTAAGTTTGCCAATGTGAGTTCTAGTTGCTGCTTTGACTCTTAATAGGTTCCATCCAATGAGAAGATTGTGATGTGATATGAATTTCCATTTAAGTATCAATCATGAAAAAATAGATTTACAAAATGATGACCATTCCTAAGAAGTTATTTTTGATGAAATCCTAATCAGACTCCTCTTTGTCGTCTGCAGCTGTATAAAGAAATTGAAATTTGTCCAAAAGTCACTCAGAATATTCAGATTGAGAAGTCTGATGCAGCCGCTGATAATTACGGTAGGTTTGTCTGTCTTTGATCTTTGGTGTTGGTGCTTGAGTTATAGCATTTCCTGTGCAAACGTGCACTTATTTACAATTCAATAAAAAGTCTTTGGGGCCTGTTTAAAACAGAACACATCTGGCCCCGGTGCTATGGAGAGCTGCCAAACTGGGAAGAAAAGCTATGCTTTAAGACTTTAGCTTTCAATTCCCTCACTTGAATCACTGGGATTCTATATCATGAAAACAGGGATATCATGGGAATGGATTATTTAATAATACACGGTACTTTACATATAAAAGAAGTATCTATTCGCATCCCTCTCCCACAAACAGAAGCACTGTCTGCCTTTCTCCCACATGTAATGTTGAAGGGACTGATTTTGGTACTGTGTCCTCCGTCCCCAAGCCACCTCCAGGTTTGCTGACTGACCAGGACTCAGCACGTAGTCTGACCCATGATTGCCATGAAATGAAACGAAGCCAAATCGGCAAAGGTGCAACGTCTGGGGAACCCAGCCCGAGCTTCCACGGTTCTCCCCAGTAGAGTCACATCAGGTGACTTGTGACAACCGACTGGAAATGCTGCCTACCAGGGAAATTCCTTAGAGACTCAGTGCCCAGAGCTTTTCTTGGGAGGCTTGTCATGGAAGCAACTACTGCCCAGCCCACAAAATTCTGGGCGCTCAGGAGGAGAATGGGTCTTCACCATAAGTCACATTGTTTTTGCAAATAGTTTGGGTACCAGGAGTCACGTTAGGATGTTGGGAACTCTCTTCATATCCAAGTTCCTAGAAGCCAGCTGAAGACCACACTTGTAAGCAGGTCTTTCAAAGAAATCACAGTCAGGCCCACTGTGTCAATGTTTTTCTCCATTCTGGTGCAGTTAAATATGTAATCCTTTCCATATGTTTAAGACTAGGCTTCTTTACTTAGTCTTACGCTACTGTATTTTAAATAGTAACAAAGTTGGTGCTTGAGTAAAGAAGGTGGGGAAATCCGTTCTGTGCTGTTATCAGTCAGAAGCAACGAGGTTACCTGAGGTAACAAGCAGTCACCAAATCCCAGTGGCTCAAAACAGTGGAATTTCTTTCTCACGTTTACCATGCATCCTGTGTGGGTTGTTATTCTCACCCCAGTACCCAGGCCTTAAGCAGCTGTCACCTGGGACATTGTGGCTTTGTAGAGGGGAAAGAGAGGAGATGGTGAAGCAAGTGTGGGCTCACTCGCAATCAGTGGGAAGAGCACATCACACAGCTACACCTGCCTACAAGGGTGCAGAAAATTGCAGGCCTACTATGTGCTTGAAGGAGATTAAAGTTCCTTTGGAAGTGACACAAAGGCCGTTGCATATGCAAACTTAAGATTTCTCTCTGAATCAAATTGTCAAGCTTTTTAGTATGAGAAGGTCTTCAAACCCTTTCCTGAACAGCAGGATATTATATTTCTTCTGCAGCTAAAGGCAGCTAATCCGGCTCTCACAATGCTCATTAAAGTGTTTTGGCCTAGTGAAAAGAGCTGATTTTGAATTCTTGGCCACTTGTATGACACCTTTACACAACTTGCTGCCCGACCTTAGAATAAAGACTCAGAAGGCCTGCAGGATGATTTTGATGGCAAAGAATCAGTGTTTATGGAAGGCTCTTCATGCATCAGCATGGACTCAGTTACTGAAGCTGTAATTGGTGGCCCTGGTGTGATCAAGTGTCTGGGCCTCCAAACTCAGATGCTCCGCAATGATTGTTCTTTTTCTCTTTTGTTGACTTGATTTCTGTTGAGTGAGGGTGAGCTACAGAAGGCTGAATTCCAAAGCCCTTGGATTCTTATTCTAAGACTGAGTGATTTGGGAAATGAGGAATAGGAGTTGAGCATAAAAGTACAACAGAGTAGCACCCCACCCCAGTTGTCCTTGGGGGACGTGTGACAAGGTGTTGCACAGATGCCTGGAACTGTGGATGGACAGTACCAGGCCCTGTACATTGTTTTTTCCTCTGCATACATACCTATGATGAAGTTTCATTTCTAAATTAGGCACATCAAGAAATTAACAACAATAGCCACAATAACATAGGACAATTATAACCATAACCATATATTGAAATAAAAGTTGGCCTCAGGAAACTGAAACTGTGGGGAGTGAAACCGTGGATGGGGGACCACTGTACTTGGTATTCTTAAATTTTTTTATTTTATTAAAGTAATCAAGTTACTCCCAGGACCCACTTCCCTTCCCATCTTGAGGGGGTGATAGGGCAGCAGGCAGCAGTCCACACAGTATTATTAACAGTGCCTCTCAAACCATCCGATGCAGAGAAGCAAGTATTTGTTTTAACTTCCGATTTTTCATAACTACCACTGCTTTTGTAAAGCACCAGGCAGCATACTTGGAGGTGGTGGCAATGTCCAGTTCTGTAAGGGGTTCTCAGGGCTTAATCTTGGTCTTGCTCTTACATTATTGCCAGTAGCAAACAGTTGACACCAGTTCCTGAACTTCACTTTGGAAAGCCCTGCTGTGCATGGCTGATGACCTCAGCCTGAGCCAGTTCTTCCCAGTGCTCTCATTCCTGTTGGGATAAACTCTTCCAAAAGCCTGTGGCCGAGCAGGTTAAAGAGCACCCTGGTTGCAATCATAGGAGACCTGCTGGCCTCTGGCCTCTGGCCTCAAGAGCTCCTTAGGCGTCCAAAGTCAGCTCATTTGCATCCAATGTCGACACCTACTTAAGCGTGGCTTCCTTTATATGCTGAGTTCAGCGTATGGAAAAGCTACTAGCACACAACACCAGCACACACACATAAAATCTAACAATACAAGGCAGATGCTGCTTTCTATTTTAGAACACTTGAGGAAGGAAAATACGATCTAACCGTCCAACTGATGGAACAAAGTTAGAGAGTTAACACTGAGTTAATCTCTCTCTCTCCCCCCTCTCCCCTCTCCCCTCTCCACTCTCAGACTGTACTGTGGAAATCAATCAAGATGGTTACTTGATGTTTAGACCTAGCATGATGCTCAAGGGTGGTAGGCCCCAGTTCAGCCACTTAGCATCCCTTTTCTCTGGATGCTCCAATTGTATTTGGACTCTCGTGTCCTCCTGAGGGCAGAGGTGTGGATGTTAACTGTATCCTGGACTCCAGTTTGGAGTCTCTGTTGGGTCTCTTGTTTGAATTTCCCTCGGCCATGAGTTTCAGCATGAAGAATCAGGCTGTTCATCATGGGAGTTGCTCTTAGTTTCCTCACGTGGTTTTAATCCCCCCCACTCCCACCCAGGATCATTACTCTGGTTGTCACACATGACACCTTCCCATTGTTGCAAGTGACAACCTTCCAGGTGTTGGATAGGTTGGGTGTGTATAGAATGAGCTCCTTCTGCCCCCTGTTGGCGATCATTTTGGACTGTGTTTGACCCATTTGCTGAGAATCAGTTTTGCTAGTCTATTTAAAAGGGCAAAACACATCTGACTTCTGCCAGTTAGCTGTTAAGATCATTATGTTCTTCAGACACCTCAGAACAAACCAGTTGTGGGGTGTTGACTATTTTCTTCATAATTGTCATTGCCGGGGATGGTGACGGAGACCCTTTCTGGCCTGATCTCTAGACAGGTGTCCTGCAGCGTGAGGTCCAGGGCAGAGCAGAGTGCGGTTCACATTTGTGAATTTGGGCTTCCTTGAGTGGTCTTTGGAAAGGAGTTTATGCCCTCTTTCTGGTCACAGAGAGTTAGTTCCCTGTCACCTTGAGAAGTCCAATCCTCTTCTCAGATCCTTAGTTTATATCTGATTACCTGGTTCAAAATTTCACAGTCAGTTGTAGTCCTCAGACTGGATGGCTTCCCTGCTCTCACTCCTTGTTTTTAACTTCTCTATTTAAAAAGTGGACCAAGAAAAGAGGTGGTAATACAGATAAATGCCTGAGCCATCTCTGACACTTTGGCCTGTGGTGACTTAGAGCGGGCCCTCAGCATTTCCCCCTGCCATCTTTTAAGTAGGCTGCTCCCTCTACACCCCATGAGGATGCAATTGTTTTTAGGAAAAACAAAATGTTGATCTCAGAATTTTATAGAATTAGGTCTTTCAGAAAGGAGCTGCCTATCGTTTGATGAATCCTGTTCATTCTTTGCCTTGCCATCCCTTTGCTCTGTAATAATATATAAAAGGGAAAAAAAACTACTGAAATGCAAATAAATATGCCTGTGTTAACACTGATGTCATGTCAGTGGTTTGTGTATAAAAAATATTTTTATTTCATTGAAGCATCTTGAAAACCTGAAAATTACAAGTTTCTGTAAAAATAGCATTCAAAATAGAATAACAGGAAGACTTTGGAAAGTCCTCCGGCAGCTTTTTGCCATTTGCTGTCTGAGGGAGTTACAGTACCCAGGGGTGTGGGCAGGGCCATGAGCAGCTTTGCCCACATGGGCTGTCCAGTTCCTGGTCCTGTGAACTAAACAAAAACCCATATGTTCATCTGGACATGACCTGAAAAGCTTCAGTGAGTCCCTGGTGCCGGGGACTTGTAATGAAGTACTCTCTTTTCTTGTTTGCTTTGCTTGTCTGTTTTTTTTTTTTTTTTTAAACCACTGTGTCTTCTCTCTCAGCATTTAGACAGGGATTGATAAATTGGAATTATTTTTTTTTTCCCAGAGTTGAAATTATTCCACTTGGGTTCATTCTTGTGGCCCTTTTAGGAGTATTTGCCAAGGGGCTTTTTCTCCAGGAAAGTCGCTATTGGCTGGATATTCAGTTCACCCATGAAGAGTTTGTCAGAGGCCATCCAGAAACAGGGTGACCCAAGCTAATAACCACAGGACTGGGAGCACCCTGAATCCCTGAAATGACTGAGAATGCTGGGTCTGACTCTGTCTTCTTTTCTGATTTAATAAAAAAGCCTAAGATTAATTAGTTCATGATCTTATGATCATTAATGGAGTATATAATCAATTCATCAGTTTCAATTTGTAAAGTGAGTGGCCACTTATCCTTTGCTGCAGAATTTTGTTAAGCAGTGCCCATATGGCAGCATGAACACATCATACGGTGGGACATTTGTGACATATCCTAGGGTGCAGTGCAGGGGACACTAGTGAAGTAAGGTAATCTTCTTAGGATTTAGAAAAGGCAAATGGGTGACATGTACCAGAAAGCAAGGAAAAACAAAATAGCTTCTTCCAAGTGGGTGGCTGGGTACGTAATGTGAAGATTGATGCAATGGTGATAGTTACTTTTATAAGGAGCAACTTCATTTAGAGTGATCACAAAACACATTTTTTTTTTTTCTGCTTTGTAAACCAATCTGAGTTGGGGGAAAGGTTCTGGCTCCAAACTATAACCCAAAACATTAAGCACACCTGGTTCACAGCAGGAACTTCCTGTTGTTTGCTAAACATGCAGAAGGTCTGAGCCCTGGTTCTTCGTGTTTTGCAGGGTTTTCACTTTCTTCCGTGGAAGAAGACGGTGTTCGAAGGCTCTATGTGAACAGTGTAAAGGAAACTGGTTTAGCTTCCAAGAAGGGTAAGTCTGTGAGTGTCTTGTCTGTCTTTCTGCAGTTCTTTTTGAGTTTCTCCAGTTGGTGGATGAGAAAGACGAGTCCAGAGGATTTTTGTGTAAGGTGTGTTTGAACATTGGCACATTGTAAACCCTTTCAAAGAATATGTTTTTTTAGTCCAACTCCGGTGTGCAAGAAATGTCATCTTCTTGGGTTTTAAATCTGATTCTGAGCCCATTTCTATGTTGCTGGTGGGAAGTTCCATTCAAACCATAAATGGTGGTTCTGCATCTCTAGGGGGTTGTGGACATCTGCAGAGGTTCCTGCTGGATCGGAACTTGTGGGAGACCTCTCTGCACTGGTCAGAGCTGTCTTGCCCTTGCCTGAGTCTGTAAAGTCTTGTGAAGCATATGTTCCGTTGCTTCCATTCCTGGAGAATCTTTTCAGAAGTTGAGAACCTAGGGATTCACGATCCAGCCCTCTTGCCCTCACCTCTCAGAACTCTTTCCTGCGACATCCTCCCTTTCCCCTGTTTGCCCTCAAAGGACTCATAGGCATTTGGACTGCTCTTGGAATCCTGAATCTCCATCCTCTTTCTACTCCTGGGGAATCTTTATAGCATAGATTACCATTGGCTCTCCCTATCCATGGGTTCTGCAGCAGCAGATTCAACCCACTGCAGATTGAAAATATTTTTTAAAAAAGTAAGTTTGTACTAAACATACAGACCCTTTTTTTTTCTTGTCATTATTTCCCAAAACAATACAACTATTTACACAGCATTCACATTGTATTAGGTATTACAAGCAAGGTATTACAAAAGGATGTTGTAGATTTTAGGCAAATATGTGCCGTCTTACATAAGGTACTTGGGCATCTGCAAGTTTTGATATCCAGGGAAAACCCTGGAATCAAGCCCCCAAGGATCCCGAGGGATGATGGTATTTACTCACTGCTTCCTAGGGTCACTATAACAAATGACCACAAACTGGGTGGCTTTAAACTTCTCTTGTGTTCAGGAGGCGAGAAGTCTTAAACTAGACATTGGCAAGATCGATTCCTTCTGTGTCTTGGGGAAGAATCTGTCACGTGCCTCTGCCTGATGCTGGTGGCTGCCAGCCAGTCTTGGCTTGTATCTGTTATCAGATTTTGTCTCAGTAGTCACATGACCTTTCTGTATGTCCTTCCTATCTTTACCTGGCCTTCTAACAACAGCGTCATTTAATGGAACACTCACCCTCAATCATTGTGAGTTTAATCATATCTGCAATATAATATGATTATAATTACTATATTATTTTAGCTATCTCTGCAATTTACGTCCTCTGGGTGGACACGCATTTTTGAGGGGACACGATGCAACCCACTATGCTTACCATAGGTAAGGGTTTGGGATCCGTCCTTATTTCTTCTTGCTGTGGAATTTTTAGTTTTGTTAAAACAGTGGTAAAATAAAGTCCATGTTGAATGTCACTGGTAAACTTGGCTAGGATACACGTGTTTGCAGGTAGGGACCTGTGAGTCTTCTGTTAAAGATGGCTGAACAGCGTGGCCAGGGTCGGAGGAGTGTGGCTCTTTCCTCCTCCTTCCACATTCTGGTTTAGCGTAGTTCTGGGTTGTGGCGTGCGAGCTCCCTGTGCAGGTTGATTTGCCCTGTGCCAAGAACTTGGAGACGCACAACCCACAGACCTGCTAGGCCTAGAAGTGGCCATGACTGGCCAAGTGGGAAATAAAGGCAGAAGTATTTACCCGCTGTCTGTCATAGAAGAGGACTTTCCTTCTTTTTCCTTCAGCCCTTTCTAGGCCATAGGGAGCCTGGAGGCCGGAATTGGATACAGACACTGAGCTGTGTCTCAGCCAAGTGCAGAGATGATGACAGGGTTTATTCCCCTTTGAACCCCAAAGCCTGATCTTTATCATTTTTTAGCACAATGAGTGTGCTGGGTGGCGTGGCCGGGGGTGGGGGATCTGCTGTGCCGGTTTCAGTCACATCCTGTGTTAGTTCAAAACCCTGGTGTTTGATGAAAACAGACGGTTGTCAGCTCCAACCCTCTTCCCCCACGTAGTGCTGTTCTCTGCAGATGTGAGAGTAGAGGAGCGTTGTCCTCTTGAGCCACACACTGCCAGACACCCCATGTGTGGACACCCATGTGTGGAGACCCGTGTGTGGACGGCAGTATCAAGAGGTTCTTGGGGTGTGTTTTGTTAGATCCAGCCTGATGTGAAGACCCAGTCCCCTCCCTGCACTGCTTCTGGTAATGGGGGACTTGCTGGGGCCATGCATCCTCCTGTGGGTGACACTTGATTCCAGAGTGTCCTCCTCCTTCAGCCTTCCGCTCCTGTTTATTCGAGTCTCCTCTTCTCTGTAGCCAGCCTTTGATATCTGTTATGTTCTTGCCAGATGCAACACTTTCAGATCCTTGAACCACTGATGAGAGTGTGGAATCCAACTCTGGTCATTGCTCTTTGGACACTGTCAGGGTCTCAGTGTCCCTGTTAAAATGACCTTGATGCATCCAGGGAGAGTCCAGTGGGATGTGGCTTAATGGGAGCTGAATGTTCCTTTTGCATTAATTCAGGTTCAGTTTGTCTTCCTTTACTTTACACTGGGCCGTCGGCTAGATGTCGGCAACCCTGGATTCCACCCCCACCTGCTCGCCTTCACGCACGTGCTGTTCTTGGCGGAGCTCCTGGTGGCTCTGCTTGTAGAATTGACGTTTTGTACCCAAGTATGGTATTTTGCACTTATTCACTGTGGCGTGTTTGTTGGGGGCTGTCATTCTACTCTTCGAGTCACCTGAGGGTCAGTTGATGTCATCTAAGTTTTTCCTGATGGCACATAGGACAGAGCCATCAAGAAAGCCATGTGCCCTATTACTCTAGACAGCCTGATACTTCCAAAGTTTTCCCATGTCAGTCACTGTCTCCATGGTGGGTTGGGATTATTTCTGAGCAGGCTGCAATTCTTTGTTAGAAAGAAAAGTGTTTTGTTGTTGTTTGTTTTGTTTCTTTAAAAAATAGTTTTAGTTCTAGATGGGCATGATACCTTTATTTTATCTATTTTTTTTAATGTGGTGCTGAGGATTGAACCCCATGCCTCACACTCTACCACTGAGCCACAATCCTGCCCTAGAAAGAAAAGTTTGTGCGTTTCTTCTACCAAATATTAACAGCAAGAGCTTGTTGAGAGCCATAGCCAAAGGGGCCCCAGGAAACTTCCAGCTGCCAGCAAACTTCCAGCTGCCGGCTGATGATTGGCTCACAGTGGCCCCAGCAACATCTAGCTCATTGGCTCCTCTGCGGTGATGCTCATTGGGCTGTTTTCCTGCCCTTTCAGACCATGGAGCTGCTCATTGGGGGACTTCTTTGGCTCCGCCCATGCGACCCAGCCAATCGGCCTCAAGAGCAGGAGGATTGTGGGAGGTGGAGAGGCTGGTGTTGGAGTGAGAGGCTTGTGGGAAGCCAGTGGTGGCAGTTGGGCTCTGAGGGTTTTTCCTGAGGAGCTGTTTTGTTTTGTGTGTGTGGTTCTAAAAATAAAGTTAGTTTCTTTTGACAAGTGGCTCCTGAATTGTGCTCAGCCAGAAAACTGCGGCAAGAGCTCATGTCTGTTGACTCGGTTCCATGGAGTTTCACATGGATGACTTCATCTACCCTCGTTTAACCCACTTTCCCTCTTACAGATGAAAACTGGAAGAGATTCGATGGCATTATCAGTAGTCACAGAGCCATCCCCTGGGGAGGCAGTGGTGGAGGGATGCTGGGGGTGCTTTGTTGGTCCTCAGTATTGGGGGTTACCTCCTGCTCATTCATATCTGTATTGTGTTCCTACGGTTGTCATCACCAAGCACAACAAACCCAGGGCTTCAACAACGGAAATGTACTTTCTCACAGTTCTGGAAAAAGCCAGAAGTCTGAAGTAGAGGAAGCCATTGGAAGGTTCTTGTAGAGAATCCTCTCCTGTTCTCTTGTCTTGTCTGGTTTCTGGTGGCCCCAGATCTCCCTTGCCTTGTGGATGAATCATTCCATACTCTGTCTCCGTCTTCATATGCCTCCTCCTCTTCTTTCTGGGCCTTCCGAGTATCCTTACAAGAACATTTGTCACTGGACTTAGGATCAGGTAACCCAGGATCACATTTTCTCAGGTTCCTTAACTTAATGACAGCTTCAAAGACACCTTTTCCAAAGAAGACCATGTTCACAGGTTCTGGGGTGTGGCATATTTTGTGGGGTCCCCATTCAACCAACCACACAGTCATGTTCTGTTGTTCATGTGGACCTGGAATTTCTTTTTGAAAAACCTCATCCATGGTTTTGATTTTTTTAAGTCTTTTTGTTCTTATAGTAAGTAAGTTCCTTTAATATCTAACTATAAGTACTTGGGTTGTTGTAAGAAAAGACCAAAAAACAAACAAACAAACAAAAACCCCAAACCTTGCTTTTCACAAATAGAAATTTTTGTATTTTTGATCTGAATGTTGGGATGCCCCAGTCTTTTACTTAATAATGAAGTTAGCTTCACAGAATTTTGCCTCTGATTTGGAGAAAAACATTCTTATTTCTTGTCCATTCCCTTCCCACCGGTACTGTTTCTTGGAGTGTTTTGTGGTAGCAAATAGATTTCACATGTTTTGGAAACCCGAGTAAGGATAGCCAGGGTGGGTGACTCAGTCAAATGGGGAATTGAGAACCTCACTGTAGCATCATTTTTCTTCGGAATCCAGAGGTGGGATCCCAGATGCCTGAGGGGCTGGGTCACTTCTCCCTTTTGCAGTTCATTTGTCTTTGCTCTTTCTTCACCCCTTTCTCCAACTGTGTTTTTACACATTAGCATATAAAATAAGGAATGCGACTCCTTTTCCCTTCTTAGCTGAGAGCTTACTCTTTCCTTCCCAGTTCTTCCCTAGCCTCTCCCTTGCTCCAGCTGCTGGAATGTTCCTTCCTTACCGGTTTGAACTGCCCCAGAATTAGTCACAACTTCTTGTTCTTCCAGGTTGGGCTTGTTCTGGGCTGTTCCCTTGGGCCCCTCCCCCACAATGCTTTGCAAAAGTAGCAGCAGAACTCTGGGGACTTCCTGAAAGATAGTCACCCCAAGGTCCCATGTCATTAGAAAGGGAGGGGACCAAGTATTGCATTTGCATCTGTACACTGTTGTCTTTAAATGTATTTGGAATAAGACAGATTTTATTTTTATGTGATTCTGAGGATCGAGGTTTTGGTTTTATAGAAATGGTCAGTAGATATGAATAGGCCCCAAAAGTCCTGATTGCAGCACAGAATCATTGGAAGATAGCCAGAATCTGCATTTGTGAAGAGAGATTGGCAAATGCTTAGATCACATCAATTGAATAAGGAGTGAGTTTGTTTAGGTGATGTGTTGAGGTCCGGACAGGCATGTCCTGAACCTACCCATGTCCAGAACCTTCCAGTCCCATGTCCAGAACCTTCCAGTCCCATCATCATTTTGGAGCATTGTAGCTCAGCACCAGGAGCTGAGGCCCCCACGCTGGAGAGCTTGGTGTGTGCCCTTTCTGGCTGAACTTGTAAGCTGTTGTGTTCTGATTTCTGCATGTGACATTAAAAATTTCCACCTTGCGTTGGCAGGCCTGAAGGCGGGAGATGAAATTCTCGAGATCAATAATCGTGTCGCTGGTACCCTCAACTCCTCTATGCTCAAAGATTTCCTCTCGCAGCCCTCCCTGGGCCTTCTGGTGAGGACCTACCCTGAGCTGGAGGGAGGAGTGGAGCTGCTGGAAAGTCCGCCCCACCGAGTGGACGGCCCCGTGGACCTGGGCGAGAGCCCCCTGGCCTTCCTCACCAGCAACCCAGGTAGGCACAGGGCTGGGGGCCCCCCGGATGGCCGTTCAGCCAAGTCCTGGGAGGTTTGCCACGCAGCATGCATATGTCAGTGGACTTCCTCTGTCTTGCAGGCAGAACAAAACATGTGAGATGGGCTGATTACCGACCCTGTGCTTCCTGTGGAAGTTTCAAAGGGCCAAGGAGTGTGTTCTTGTCATGGATTAACTGTCTTTCTTCAAATCTAGCCCTCCTCCATAGAAAGCTTTATAATGTGTTTGCTATTTTGGAGAAAAGTTGACTATGGATAGAGATAAGGAGACACCCCGCTGGGAATCACACAAGATGCTGAGACTCTAAGTCCTATCCCAGTCCTGTAGTTGGGCTTATGAGAGGCTCGAAATGACCACAGTGGAAATGTGTTCAGAGCTCCTCGGTCTCTGACTCTCCGGCTCTTCCAACCTGGAGTCTGAACTTGGGCCCGTTAGCGGAACCCCCTGCCCTTCCCCATCTGCTGCTCTTCCTTTCCCTCTCCCTCACTCTGGCAACCTTGCGCTCATCCTAATGGAAGCAGCTTGAACGCTACCTGCCCTTGGAAGTCTTCCTGGAACCCCACAGAGTTCGCTGCCTCCCCTGGGCTCCCGTGATCCTGCAAATGCCTCTTCCCTGAAGGCTCTGACCTTATGATACTGTGCTTGCTTTCTGTGTCTCTTCTGTGCTTGTTTCCTGGGAGTGACTTTATGTTCTTGTCTTCGTCTTCCCTGCTCTTTGCACATAGGCGACCCATTTCTGTTCAGCGAGAGGTGGGCCAGTGAGTAACCAAATGGACAGGGTAGACCGTTTTGTTTAATTGTCCATGACTGGGTTCTGGGGTCTGGATTTTGGAAGTTGCATTTTGGGAATTATTTAAAAGGTCATTTTTAGTTTTCACATCTGAGTTGTAGCATCTGAATTGGGCATTTTGTCTGCCATTGTTGTTTTTAAAATTACCATATATGAAGCTTGGCCAGCTAAGAAACCCTACAAGCTTCTCATTCTTTCCTTCAGTGGCTTCCTGGAAGAATTCAACTTGTTGCAGCTGCAGAAAATTGATTGCATTTCATTTGGTTACTATTGACCTCCTTGGTTCATGTATCATTGTGGGACTCATGTACCAGTCTCATTTTTAAAAATTGGCTCCGGTGAGTCATGTACCCTAAAAGAAAGGGAATTGAGACCTTGAAGGTTATTCTTTGATGTGACCACAAGATGGCAGCATCGATCCCTTAAAAATTCCACTCACAGACCCTTGTTTCTCTCTGACTTCAGTATTATGTTAGATCACATTATTTAAAGGATTTTTTTTAAGCTTGGACATGCATAACACCAAGCAACAGTGTGTGCTAAATTGTCTTTTGGTTTTATGTTTTTTCCCCTATTTGAGCCCTTCCTATATTATAGATATAAAACTAGGATTACCAAACTACAATCCACAAACCAAAACCAGTCCCGCTGCATGTTTTTTCAATAACCTTTCACTAGGACACAGTCTCACCTACTCATTTACGCCTTTCTGTGTTCTCCCATTACAATGAGAGTTGAGAAGTTTTGACAAGAAATTACAGTTTGCAAAGTCCAGAATACTATCTGGCCCTGTGTGGATAAGTTTGCCAAACACTGGCGTAAAGTATGCCTGAAATTACTTACAGTCTTTCTTTAAAGAAATCACTGTTGGGACTGGGGTTGTAGCTCAGTGGTAGAGTGCTTGCCTAGCATGCATGAAGCACTGGGTCCTATCCTAGCACCACATAAAATCATAAATAAATAAAATAAAATAAAGGCATTGTGTCCATCTTACAACTAAAAAATATTTTTTAAAAAATCACTGTTGATATACATACACACATATATATACATATATATGTGTACATATATATTTCCAATTTTAATAATTAAAAATGCATATATATTTATGTGTTTTATAAATATCTGGTGGGATCTGCACACAGTGGCTGTTCTGCCTTCTACATGATGATTTACAGTCAGCAGCTGGCCTTCCCGTCCCACTGCCTGTTGTGTCCTGCAGACCAGTTAGCTGTGGAGGTTCCAAACTAAATCCACTGAACTCACCTTTGTTTAAAACACATTAAAGCTGCAATTTTAGAATCACCTTTGGGAGATTTATTCATTCCTTTATTGTATGACAATGGAATGTCCATAACGTGGAACTCGGGTTCCTGCCTGCGTCTCTGCCTGTCCACCTTCTGGGTGCTTCCACTTCCTAGTCCCCATGTAATGGTGAAAGATAAAAGGGGAAGCGAGTAAACAGGATAAAATAACCCATAAGATTGCTCCATAATGAGGCAGAGATAAAGCGGTATCCACACACAGCTGCAGTCAACGTAGAAAACAACCGAGATAATTTATACAATGGGCCGGCTGGTGGGCAACCTTGGTCTAAATTTAGAAAAGTAACTAAAAATAAGAACCATTCTGAGTGGCAGGTTTGAGATTTGATGCAGGGACCATCCTCAGGTGGTCATAGTGAGCGTGTTGGGGACCCTGTGGTCCAGTGAGCGGTGGCCAGAGAGGGTCTGCTGGAAGCTGCTCCTGCCGGCTCTTGCCATCTCATAAGCCCAAGTGCGTAGACTTGGCCAGATCCTCCCCTCCCTTGAGAATCCTGATGGAAATATGTGGTTCCTTTTCAAGGTTGGGTTATTTCTGGACCTCTTTCTCACATAGAAGCTTCTATATGGAAGCATGACAGCCTGGTGGCTAAAAGTGGGCTCAGGATCCAGATTTCTGGGGACTGCGTTCATTTCCATGTTCCCATCATGCCCCTAAACAGTCCTATTTAATCCCTCACTTACACAATAGAGATGATGACATTAGCCATCTCACCAGGTTGATGTGAAGACTAAGTGAGTTACTCAGATGTTTGAAATAATACCTGTAAGAACTCAATAAACGCTTGTATCCAGCCAGTCTCTGGGGGGAGCAAGATCATGGATGGGCTGGCCTGCAAACAAAGATGGACAATTTTTGATGTCCTTACTACCTACCTTCTCCTTCATTTCCATCTTCAACAGCTGATTTTTTTTCTGATAAAAATTAAGTTCATGAATCACAGCTCGCTTATACTTTCCCATGTGGAAAGAAAGGGATTCTGTCTTGGACAGTCTACCCTACGTGTTCTCCGGGACCTGGTTTCCTGTCCTTGGCCTCTTGCCGTCCAGTTACTTCTGGTTGAAGTCTCACTGGGATGCTTTCATCTCTCTCTTTCTCTTTTTTTTTTTTTAAAAGCACTTGTTTATGTACATATTGGTAGGATGTCCAGGACAAAAAGACATTCCTTCAGTGGCTGTTATTCTAGAAAAGCCCTTGTAGTGAAGGGGAAGCCGGAGTCGGAAGTTGCGAGCTGATGTTTGTGTGAGGTTTCCAGAAGCCCCTCGCGTGTTCTCCTGTGATTTATTCTGATCTCATCTAGCACTATTAACATGTCGAGCCAGATTTTTGGTGGTGATTGTTGTTCTGTGATGAAAGTAGTCTCAGCAAGACTTCAGTGGTGTATGGCGAAATCTCCGCCAGCTGAGAACCACTGGCCCGGTTTATTGGACGGGATACCTGTATCATCCAGTGGGGGAAGTAAGTCAGTGAACATCAACTTAGGGAAGCAAGTATAGATCGAAAGTAATTGTTTGAAAAGTTTTATAAAGAACTTATTGAGAATTAAAACACAAATGTCCTTTTCTGGCACCCTCTCCCCACCCCTTTTTCTAACTAGGGAACAAGAAAAAGTAAATGCTTATTCTGAATACCTACTTTTTTCCCCAAATGTGGGAACTGTGGTGTAGATCATAAAATTCACCATTTAAACAAAGATAATTTGCATCAGTAATTATGCAAATACTCATCTTTTATGCAAATTACATGAATCATAGATCAGGTGGCATCCCAAGGTGGTATCTTCCCAAGGTTTCAAGCGTCTGCTTCTCGGTCTCATTTTGGGTTCTGCCTCCAGGGCTGACATTTCTTTCATTTTTGTAGTGAATGTTGCTGTGATGTACTTGCCCTAGAATTCCACCTGACCATTTGTGACAGGCAGGTGCCTTGGTTTATCTCAGTGACTAGCTCCCGGTATTACAATAAAAGCACCAGGGCTCTGTGAATTGAAGTTGCTTCTTATTTTAAAGATGGTTATTACTGCATTTGAGCTGGAGAAAGCAGAGTGTCTGAGGCTAACTGCAGGCCCACAGTACTTAGAGACAATTAGGGCCAGCCTTGGACTTGAGAGTCGGACCCTTTGATGAGCACATCTGTCTGATGCTGGGTGGAAGCTGGTGGTGTGCAGGAGTACAGATGTCCCTCCTGCGGGGAGCAGATTAAGCAGCGTTTGTTTAACAGGAAAGGCTTCTGTGATTGCCATGGAAGTCCAAGGCACCTTGAGTCGCAGTGAGAAATTGCTAGCGCCAGGCGTGGTCAGCACTCAATGAGCCTGGGCTGTGCACGCTTCTGTTCCGTACCTGTGAAACACAGGTTCTATTTTAGTCTGATGTTCCATGGAGACTGTTGAAGACAAGCAGGCAGCAGGGAGGGTCTGCGAGGAAAGAGGAACTAAACAGATTTATCTTTCTGCAAACAAATATGGTCTAGCGTTTGGATTCTCTGAAGCCTCACAGATACCAGGCAGCACATGGCCCCCTGTTTGTTTGTCGATAAAATTCAGAGCCATGTGTGTCTTGTCAATTGTTTGTGTGCCCTGCTTTTTGTCACTTAGCACATGGCCTTCTTCTGTGGGCCCTGCTGGGATGAGAGGAATCCAAATGCCTAATTTTGATTTCCAATGAGCTTTGATTGATGGCGCCCATCAAATCCTGTGTGTGGGGAAAAAAGTGTTGTTTCAGAGAGTTTCCATTCTTAGGTTTTTAAAGATTGTGACTATCCCTTACAAATGACTTTCACAACAAGCTGACAGTGAGGCCTAAATCTACAGTTCTAATACATTTTAAAATTTCTCTCTGTTGGAAACAAAGACACTGAAATTTTGTGAAATT